AGTTTCGACCAAATAAAATACTCTTTAAATTTTACCTTCTGAAGACCAAAATTACCTGCTAATAAAACTAATTCATTAGTGAGCCAATTCACTCTGATCCACATAATTAAAACATTTTCTGTTATCATCAATTAAATTATGCTCTCCCAATAATAATTTGTGACAATATTATGAATATTCATTTATTATTTGCTTTTTAAATCATCTTTTCTCATTTTGATTATTGACCATCATGGTAAGCCAATTTAAATCTATTATTCTTGGGGCCAATTGACTAAATTTTTCAATTCCACTAATTCATCTAAGTTTAGTTCCATTCATATACTTCCTTTCAATTTTAAAACAATTATAAAAACCTACAAAGTGAACATCTATACTACTAAAATTCTAAGCGTGTGTCCGCTTTATAAGCGATTTGATTGGTTAGAACCTGAAATCGTGATTTATATACTACACAGTGAAATTCGATTTAGCGGATAATTTCGGCCACTTAGTAAAAAATTTTCAAAAATCCGTTAAATCAAGATTTAATTAGTACATCCGTTATATCGAGAAATTTACTATATAAAAATGCAGCCCAGTTCTGAGCCTCAATCCGTTAAATAGAGATTTTTATTAGACGTCCGCTAAATCGAAATCCGCTAAATCGAGTTTCACTGTGTATTAAAATCCCCTGGTTGATAAATGATCTGCGAATTAATGTAGTTGGCTGTCAATCTGGCACAATAAATCAAAAAAAAATTTGTTTACATTGTGTAACAAACAAATTATTCTTAAAATGATATTGCTGCTTGAACTTCTAACTGAAATATTCAAATACACTGATGACTATAAAACATTATATTCTTGTATTCTTGTCAACAAACAATGGCACTATATTAATATTTCAACTTTATGGAGAAATCCACTTGTTTCTGAAGACAGCATTAAAATATTAATTAATTGTTTATTGGAAAAAGATAAGGGTTCCTTGACTGGAGTTGAATTAAATTTTGAACTATTGGAGAAACCACCATTATACAATTATGCCAGATTTTGTACTATGCTTTTTGGATATTATGATCTTAAATGCCTGATAAAAACTTCTGGACCAAATCTTGTACAAATTTTACAAAATAAATTGGAAAAATTTATTTTAGATCATTCAGCAGGTATTAGAAAGCTCAGTACTAGATATATAGATTGTAATTTTTTAATTAATCATCATAGATTTGATAATTGTTTTCAGAATCTTTATGAAATGGATTGTATTAATCCTGATAGTGGTGAATTTTTTGATAAATTAGCAAATATTTGTAAAAATATTCAATCATTAAAAATATATCATGCTAGTGATGATAAATATATATATAAATTTGCACAGCTAATTAAAACACAACATCGTATTAAATATTTAGTTACTAGTTTACCAATGGAACAAATTTTACCAGATGAATTAAAAAAAGCAATATTAGCACATTCACAATCAATAATTTTTTATGGATCTCATGGAATTAGCAATAATTCTAGTGATTTATTATTACCAACTTTTAAAAATTTAAAGACATTAGAATTAACATCTTATGGCAAAATAATTAATTGGAAAAATATTTCACTGCCAAATATTGAATCTGTGAGGGTATATGTTAGTTGTCATTCATTTATATCTGATTTTATTAATGTTAATCAAAAAAATCTTAAAAATCTGGATGTTAATGGTATTCTGAAATTAAATAATTGTGAACTTTCAAGGAAGCTATTTCAATCAATTGCACAATCTTGCAAAAATTTAGAAAATTTATCTATAGAATATAAGGATGAATTAGACCAGGAATTAATGGAAGTGCTCAATAATTGTATTAAATTAAAAAATATTACATTCATTAATTTTTCTTCAGATAAAATAGATTGTGATAAAATATTAATGGTATTCAATGAAACATTACCAATAAATTTAAAGTCAATAACTTTTACATGTAAGGTTCATAATATTAGTAACCATTCCTTGGATAATCTAAAGAAGAATTGGAGAGGACCCAAGCCTTTAGAAATAGTATTTGACATATTATCTAATGGAATTTTGCTAAAAAATGATAAAATAAGAAGAATTTTAAAAAAATATCAAGATTTAGGGTTTTTAAATAATAATATTTAAAATCATTATCAATGGAGTAAAACATAATCTTATATTGTTTATTATTGTTTATTATTTGTCATTCTTTATTTTTTATTTTAAATAAATAAAATAATTCACATAATTGTATGTGTGGTCATTCCTCTTGAATATAATTAAAATTTTAACATTTCAGAAGAATAAATATGTCAAATAAAGTCTATGAAGTTTATTCAATCTTAATTTAGCGATTTAACTGCATCATAAAAATTGTGGGCTGATCTGACATGTAGGAAGTCAGCACTAGTATCAATGAGAATTACTAGATTTAGAATCTTGAAGATATTTGTCTAATTTAATTGGGTATAGTTGATTGGCTGTTGCATTTTAGACTGACATTTTTTGTTTTAAACATGAGTTAAACAAGACACATCATGGAGGCTACATATTTTTATAATAGATGATGTGAAGGTTTTTTGTGAGAAGCAAATATTTGATATATGGAATTAATTAGAAGTAATACAACTACATGAACTACAGGCGGAGTATGATTGAAATTAGATTAGAGTAGAGGTTTTAGTGATTGTCTAGTTTGTGTAATTTTGGGGTATGTGTACCAATTTGGGATTTGAGAGATTATTGATTGTCAAATTGTTGGCCATGAATTGAGTCCAAATTAAAGTTAGCTTGGCAGAAAATAGGTGAACGATATTTTCAGGTGATTGATTGTAGTAGAGACAATCAAGGTTGGGTGGGAGTTGTGTTGAATAGTTACGTATTAAGTTTTTAGAATAATGAGCTATGATAAAAGTGTGAATTTTAAACAAAATTCTATATTAGTATATGATGGAATTGTTTTACAAGATGGGTTGTGTTTACCATTTCATTGTAGCTTGTGAATTTGTGTTTATTTTTAATAAAAGGATGTAGAGGACGATCAATGTATTGTTGATTGAAACTATTTCCAAGCCTTTGTTTCATAGGAGCTGTCAATAGTTTCATCTCAGTGTAAAAAATAATATTGAAAATTTAAAATATCTAATTTAAAAAAATAGATTTTCTTTCAGTATTAACATAAATCCATCAAATAGAATCACATAGGCAACAATAAATCAAGCTTGTTGCCAGGTAGAATATTCATGATCAATATCTAAGCAATTCCTGGAGCATAACCAAGTAAATGACAAAAATTGCAACCAACTGCCAATGCAAAGATATGTGATTAGAGGAATTTCTTGCACTTGGTCTATTATTGAGAATGCCACAGAGAGAATGACTTATAAGCAACAAGAATTACACAAACATTCATTGTGAGAATGAAATACCAATCCATCGCCTTAGTTATGAACATTTTACTTGGAAGGTTTTTACAGCAGTCTGCCATTATGAAGATAGCCCACCTGGATTTCTTCAAAAGCGTCTAATTTACCATTGTTTGTCTATTCATATTTTAATATGTCCTGATGGCCACATTAATTGCCCCAAGTTATGCAAATTTTTTCTTTTATTTTGTTTCACTAACTTTCTTTTATGTTTCATCATTGGTTTTTTCTTACCAACATCATTTCCTCAGCTGCACTTGAAATATGCCATCAATTGTCAGGTTATAGTCATGGAACCTTGTGAACAGTAAGCTCCGAGATATGATTCTTGGTGGCTAATAATGCTGCTGTAAAAAATTATTGATGAAAACATTATCTTCTTCTATTGTATATAAGATTTTAAAGACATTTGTGAAAACCATGTAGTGGATGCACAAGTAAGGGAAGGAGATATGGAAAAAAAGATGCAAGTTACGACCTTACACCTTTGTGTGCTACTTGCTAGATTTCATCGAAGGTTTATTTATATTTGAATGCAAGGAGCAAGGAATTAACTTTTACTATATAGTTTTTTTGAAATTGAAATCGAAAAAATTCGTCGTATGATTTAGAAGCCATCTGCAGAAAATACTAATTTGATTGGATAATTTTCAACACGTAACACAATCCCAACATTGAATTTTATTAATATATAGTGTTATATGTACAAACCCAATGAATGAATGTATCATACGGAATAAGTGATTGATTATATGTTTGATAATCATGGTCTTTGTACATTCAACTGGTTGATCGAGTTATGAGGTTGATCCTGGAAGGATAACTTATTTGTTGGCTGATAGTATATTTGGAATGAAAAAAGGCATCTTGATAAAAATAATACAAAAAAGAATGGTATGCAATGACTTAATTTACAAGGACAAGAAAGAAATGGAAACATCGTATAATAATAATTATACAGTTAAAAAGGAACGTTCATTATTTAATATTATTTAATAATGAATCTATATTTTTTTTTCCTTTTTTTATATCTTTACAACATGTTAACATGTTTCATGATCTTTTTAATAACGTTTCCTATCCAAACAGCAAGTAACTCTTCACGAGGTGATCATTTTATGCAAATTTTTATAGACGCAGTACTTGAACAATTTGTTGCCGCATAAATCCGATAGTTTACATACAAAAAAAATCACGGTTTGATATAGGTTTGACCCATCCATCACTGAGATTGGCTTATTGAAGACAATCTTTCCAAATTTGGTAATTTTCACCAACATTGCATTTTCTAATATTAATATATATATAGTAATAAGATTGACCTAGCTGCAGCAGTAACGTGCCTATTACTATTACTTACTATATTAATATTAATATAGTTTGTGGGGTCCTATCCGGATTCTAAAAAGGGAAATAATAATAATAATAACAGGAGGGTTCTGTATATTTCATAAAAAGAAAGAACCCTTTCCGTATATAATATTAACCCTTATTTTAAAAGGTAAAATATTTTTTTTCAGTTCTAGCGTTTGCAATGACAAAATAATAAAATATTCATTTTATTACCCCACAAGCCATTGATTATAATGGCAGGAAGGTTTAGCACGTTACAAAACTTCAATTCAGTACCATTTCCTGTTATACCGGGAAATCGAATCGATTTTTCTCGGGCTGAAATATTGAAAAAAAGGATAAATTCAGTACTTGGTGCAGCTGTGTAAGTTGGCCTATATTACATGATCAGTTGGTTCTTTATTGATATTTTTATAATAATGAATTTTATATATATACACATTTAGGAATTTTCCTGGTATAATAAATGATAAAGATTTTAATAATAGTTAATAATTAATGAATGATATTAGTGAAAACAATAATTTTTTGATTTTACAGGATCTCAACCCGTCAGTTTCACACTACAACACTTAATTGAACTTGAAAAAGAAGAGTAATTGTTATTGTTGTTGTTTGATTTGATTTGGTTTGATCTCTATGAATATATTTACTAATATATTTAAGAATAATTTGTATAATAGTTATTATGTATGTGAAAAATCTGATGGAGCACGTGTCCTTTTATATATAAGAATGGATAAAAATGGTGATCAAGATGTATATTTGGTATTTATTATTACTATTTATTATTATCATGTTCTGTTATATTTTTTTTTTAATAGAAAAGATATCTCTTTCTGACTCATGTGAAAAATATATTTAATTTATATATATATATAGATTGATCGAAAGAATCATTATTTTCATCTACCAGGTGTAAAGTTCCCCATTCCAAATACGAATGTTGATCCTAATACCCACAATTGGGATAGTTTAGTTGATGGTGAACTAGTTTATGATGTTGAGCCTGATGGATCTGTAAGCAAAGTTTCCACAATATTCATATTTATATATTTATACATATTTATAATTATATATAATTTATATAATTTATATTTATAATTTATATTTAATTTAACTTGATTAATAATTTAATTTAACTTAATATATACAGTATACACTGATACTTCTTGCCTTTGACATGTTAATTGATAAGGGATTAAATATAACGGAAAAACTTCTTGATAAAAGATTAGGTGTAAGTTTTTTTTATTTTAATAATTGACTACTTAAATAATAAAATAAATTTTCTAACCACATTATAATTTCACATATGGCAACTAGCGTTTATTCCTTCTTATAAAAGATTATAATAAATTAATACTAAGAAATAATCCACAGTTTGCAAATAATCAACCATTCAAGTACATACACAACATATCTTTCTTTTGATTTTTTTCACTTCACTAATAATAATGATTATATATATATATTATGCATGTTTATATGAAAAGGTTCGCTTTTAAAGAGATGGAGAAATCCTATGGTTTAGAGAAAGTTATTAAAGAAACGACTTTAAAATTAAAACATAAGAGTGATGGACTAATTTTCACATCTGCAGAGTCAAGTTATAAAATGGGAACTAATGAAAAAATGTAATGTATAAATTAATTTATAATATATATATATAATATAATAAATTTGCAATCACTAATTAATTTTATTAAATAAAGCTTAAAATGGAAACCACCAAATGAAAATTCTATCGATTTTCTTTTAAAAGTTGAACATGATCAAAATAAAGAAATGCCCAGATTTTGTCTATTTCAACGAGGAAATAATGGATATGAATATTTTAATGATATGAGTGTAACTTATGAACAATGGAAAATGTAAGCATTTTTTAAACCTTTTGAATGATATTATATTAATAATTATTTAATGAATTAATATAAACTGTTTTTTTCCTTTTTTCCAAAGGTGGATTGATAGTAATGAGAAACTTAATGAAAGATTAGTTGAAGTGGTTTGTAATCCCTCTTCATCATCATGGCAATTTTTAAGATTTCGTGATGATAAACTACAACCAAATTTTTCTACTGTTGTTGATAAAATACTACAAAGTATCAAAGATGGTGTTGATAAAGAAACACTGATTCTACAATCAAATAAAATACGTGATTCTTGGAAGAGAAGAGAACAAGAAAGAAAACAACGAGTAAATTACAACACATAGAATATGTGATTCTTAGAAATAGAATATAAAAGAAATCAACTAATAAATTATAACACATAAATATATGATTCTCAAAAGAGAAGAGAGCCAGAAAAACTCAACAACTAAATTATAACATTGTTTATTAATTATTGTTGTTATTATTGCTGAAAAAAAAAGGGTGGAACTATTATTATTATAGATATTTTTTAGAATAAAGTCTAATTTAAATGTTCACGATATTTGTTTGTAATCTATTATACTATCGTTATCATCATTGTAATTATGCTTCATCTTGATCATCGTCCTCATCTTTTTCTTTATATTCTAATTGTTTTCTTGATAAACCTTTAAATCTGAAATTTCGTGTTGAACATTCCAATTGAATTGATTCACTAATCAATTCGCTCCATTTATTATCTAATGATATTTTGGATTCTATTGATACTATCTTTGATAGCTGGGAAGAGGCTTTTTAATTCTTCTTTTGTTAGTTAAAACGCATTTGTATTAGGTTCCTTGGTGGTAGTTACTAATCAATGACCCTTGAAGTTTGGATGCTGACTTGTAATTGAGAAAAATTTTTCATTTAGGAAAATTACCTGGATGTTCAGTAACTTTATACAAAAATTCTTCTTAATAACCATAGTAAACATAGAACCAACTTCTAGTTACCTATCAATGAATGTGCCCTAAGTTTGCTTTTATCTAAATTTACATGTAAGAATTAAAACTATTTTTTTATTCAATAATTTACTTATGTACAGTCAAACCTCGTTTTCAACGAAGTGGCTGGAAATTTCATTTGAAACGACGAATTTTTATGTTTTCATAATAATAACGTATAACCGTATTTTGAAAAAACGCGAATTTAATTGTAATTCGGTGAAACCGAGGGTTTGACTGTATATTAAATTTATATATTTATCGTTTTAGGAATTATTGCCGATTTTTATTGTATGTGTATGTGTTCAATGGGTAAAGTGAATAATTTAGCCATAATCAGAGAGCATAAATAATTATTTATCAATTATTTTTATTATCAAATTTTTTGGATTAAATGAGATATCAATGATATCAATGAATGGCAGGTAAAGGAAAAAATTATTAAATTATTAAAATCATCTATCGGGTTACTGATTTTTATGTGTGTGCGTTATATTTAATGGGCGAAAGGAATAACTTGGTTATATAAATACACAATATTAATTGATTATCTTTCATTTTTATCAAATATTATTGATTTTGTGTATGTATATGTAATATTAAAATTATCTGTCAGGATAATATCAAAATCGTCGTCCTTATATTGCTTAAACCTATAAATTGGAAATCATATGACCAGTTAATAAAGCTCTTGCCATGATTTTCTTGTTTTTATTTTATTCAACGAAAAGATCTTATGAATTTAGCCAATAAATTTTCTTTTAAATTCCAGAACGTTTATTATTTTAATTAGAAATACCAAATTTAGCATTAACTTAAAATTCTGGCAAAAAAACAGTTATATAAAAATTCAGTGTGCGGGAATGTGATATGCTAACCAAATTTGGTAATTGGCGTCGGATTTTTTGACATGTCCTGCAGATCAATAGTTATTATTAAATTTCTCACGTTGATTTTCCTTTGCGTGACAAATATCTTATATTTATTATTATTATTATAAAATTCTCTAATTGTTATACAGTAATTATTCAAAAACAAAAAGTAAAAAACAAATATTATCGTTCAAAATTAAATTAATTAATAATTATAGATATGTTATATTCACATAATAAAATAAAACTACAAATATTAATAAATTACGATTAAAATCAAAAGAACAATGCGAGGCATTTCTAAATAATTAAAAAATTAATCTCTATAATATCTTTTGCTCAATTGAGCAGTTGTAATATAGCTCTTATAGTCGATAGTTATTGTTTCGTTAAGGGGGGTATCTGAGACCGCAAAATTGGAGAAGCTTGGATTTGAATTGAGATCGTTGGAGATGAAAGGGCTCTCGGCGGTGAAGGTGGCAACGACATTAAGAATCAAGTCGTTAGACGTAGGGTTGACAATGACGACACAAATTTTGGTGCTAGGTCCTTTGGCAAGACTGTCAACAGCATAACAAATGTAACCATTAGCTCCACATTCCGTATCTAGGGAAGTTTTATCGGCAGTTGGATCATATAAAGCAACAGCAAATCCGTATCCATGATTTTTTGATTTATCTTTCCCTTGAACAGACGTCCCAAACGTAGGTGAAGAAAGCGAAGAGGACGGTGGTGCAAGCCTTACACTATATGCTATAAAAAAATGTATTTTATTGTTAGTTATATAATAATAAAATATTTGATTCTTATTTAATTAATTTAATTAATAAAATTACCAGCATTATTGGTTGGTTCTGTTGCGCAAAGGACCCAACCACCATAGTTGGCTGGAAGAGCTATAGTTTTATAGGGTACATTAGGAACAACTCCATAAGTATTTGTGCTCTATTAATTAGTATAAAAATAAATTAATAAATAATACATAAATTTATAAATACAAAGACGACGATATTAACCAATGCAATGAAGAAGAACCCGAGAAAGATCAAATAATTGTTCATAATAAATTTTGATATATTTCGGTAAAATTTTAATAATTTATTGTTATTATTATTATTATTATTATTATTATTAAGGTTGGAAAGAACTTTTTTTACAGTTTATGGAATTCAAATCCTTCTCAAATCCTCACTCTATATATTAATATTTTTTAAACTACTTGTACTACTACACGACAAAAATTCAGGTAGTAGTAGTGTATCACGTTACTTGGAATTGACAAATTTGACAAATTAAATTAAGTGCATCGAATTAAACCTTTGTTTAATCTATGCAATATGATGCGACATCGGAATACAAATACTAACAAATAACCGAAATGAGCCAAATTCACTAAAAAGTGACGGATGACTAAAAGCAAAAACCTTGAAATGATTATTTATCCCTTAAACGGTCAATATTTAAATAAATAGAACTTCTTCATAGATCTTGCATTCTTATTGGTGGATCTAGAAACGAGTCCGCAAAATAGTTGCAGTTGTATAACTTTTAAGGAAGGTTTTACGAAAATTACAAGGACAACTGCCGATTTTTTTTATATATATGGGTCTATGGGCTGAATCTCAAAGATCATTTTCATATTAGGAAGTGATACCTTCAGAAAAGTTTTGCGCATTCAAATAAATTCGCGGACATATTTGGCCGCGTGACCGTTTAAGGGATAATAATTATGTTGTGAATTCAAATTAGCCAATCAGAATTTGTATCCAAACACAAATTCACAAATTCACTTTTCACATGTACAATTAATTTACCAAACTGTCGTATTTCCTAATTAATTTCGATTAAAACGGATATTTTTTAACTTTCGTATTTGTTTTTATGTAGAATTTTTCTAATATTTTCAAAGATGATCTATGAAACTTTTGTGACAATATTATTGAGAGTTTTTGAGTAATTATTATGAAAAAAGATTATTGACTATATACAAACCAAATGATTATTATTTACTTTCGGCCAAAATAGGAGATAGTGATAATGATAACCACAGTGTGTTTCAAAAAAAACCGGAAAATTATTGTCGCTGGAAAATCTTTGTAACTTCACTAAAAAACAACCCAACTTGTTTCAAATAAAATTTAAACAAAGCTTTGCTTTGTAAAGTTATTTTAAATCATTTTCTAAGTTTAGTTTTTGAGTAATTAGCTTTTAAAATGCGCGATAGGGTTGAAATTTACTGTTTTTTTCCAATTATATTATTAGAATAAAAGGGATAGATCTACCTGACAAACACATTATATTACGTGCATTTCATTCACAAATATCTATTTCAATATTAATAAGTTGAACGAAATAGGTGGTTTGGCGTAGAAGAGTTAATTGTTGGAGAAAATGGGTTTACAGTCTAAATCACGTGATTTACTGCAATTTATCTACTGGTTTTTTCTTTATTTCTTCAAAATATTTAGTAACCATTTATCAAATAATGAATAAAAAGTCAAAATTTTCAAGGTCTGGGACAATTCATTATTAAAAAACGAGATCTAACTCCTGATTGTTTCTAATTAGTTAATTTGATCAAAAAAATTAAGATGTTGGTTTATTAATTAAAACTAATAGTGAAAGCATTTTGTATTAAAGTATAGTTAATAAAAAGTTCTGCTTTTAATCTATTGAATAGGCTATTTGTCATACAAATCAATGCAGTGGCTGTTCCACAATGATTGATTTAATTTTTCCGGTTTTTTTTGTATATATTATATATTATGCGCACCAAGATTTTTTATAAAATGATATTATCTCCTCGCTGCTGTAAGATGAAAACGCCCACTTTACAATGTTGAAATTTCGCTGTATAACTAGAAACTATCTTCAAAAATTGATTGGTGTGTAATGTTACATTACATCCCTGCATTCCCCACAAATTTTTATATTATTTATTTTTGGTTGTATATATTTTTTTTTTTTAATTTATTTTTGGTTGTATTTAATTGTGATGTACCACCATCATCATATTACTGACATTTAATATTATTGTTATCATTATTAAAAGATTTTGAAAATCATTATTACAACCATTGTTAAAATTAGTTTTTATTTTATATATGCACATAATAATATGATATAAAATTAGTTTTTTTTATTTTATATATATGCACATAATAATGTGATATTGGTTTTTTTTTATTTTATATATGCAATCATATTACTGACATTTAATATTATTATCAAAGACTAGTGCCGTAAATTATGATGATGGTAGTAATTGTATTTACGGCATATAAAAAGTGGTTGCAATTACCTTTGCGACCACTTTTGCAATCATACTTTTTCCTTTTTTGGATTACTTTAATTATTATTATTAAATCCGATTTTCAAAAAGATTGAAAATCATTATTACAACCATTGTTAAAATTAGTTTTTATTTTATATATGCACATAATAATATGATATAAAATTAGTTTTTTTTATTTTATATATATGCACATAATAATGTGATATTGGTTTTTTTTTATTTTATATATGCAATCATATTACTGACATTTAATATTATTATCAAAGACTAGTGCCGTAAATTATGATGATGGTAGTAATTGTATTTAGGGCATATAAAAAGTGGTTGCAATTACCTTTACGACCACTTTTGCAATCATACTTTTTCCTTTTTTGGATTACTTTGATTATTATTATTTACTAAATCCGATTTTCAAAAAGATTTTGAAAATTCATTATTACAATACATTGTTAAAATTAGTTTTTATTTTATAATATGATATAAAATTAGTTTTTTTTTATTTTATATATAATAATATGATATTTTTTATTTTATATATGCAATAATATGATATAAAATTAGTTTTTTTTTATTTTATATATATGCACATAATAATATGATATTAGTTTTTTTTTATTTTATATATGCACATAATAATATGATATAAAATAAATCAAAGAATAAAAAATAATGTAAAAATAAACACATTCGTGTAATAATTCTTTTTTTTTTGTATTATTAAATGTTTTACTGCTACTTTTTCTTTTATCACTTTTTTTTGGCTCACTTCTTACATTAAAACAACATAGTTTACATAGAAGAAATGTTTACAATGAAGTTGTATAAAATAAAAAAACAAAAATATGAAACTTTAATAATTTTTTTTTTTTGTTTTGCAGATTTTAATCTTTTTCATAATTAATGTCCGCTTTTAGAAAGCGGACACTGATTTTTTTTTTTAATTTATTTTTTTAATTCTCCGATAAATAAATTTAATAATAAGTAATTTTCCCATAGTGGAAATTTGTTGTTCATTGCTTCTGAAACTTCGCCAGTATATAGTTGTTACCTAACTTTAATTTTTGTTCTCGTTGTTTATCACAAGCACTCTCTAAATTGGAGATCAAGTTCAGATCCAATTCAAATCCAGTTTATCACTTACTTTTTATTGCCAGAATGTTTGGCGCGTATTGTAAAGCTACATTGCAATAATAAAAAATCAAAAAATTAATTTATTATAATTATGATGATGATGATGAATTATAAGTTACTAAATTACAACAAATGCTTCAAAGACTTCAATAGGTAGTATCTCATTTTTATTTTGCATTTAGCTGACTTCATTTTACCAAAAGATTCACATTATTTTCAACTCCCACACGAAAAAAAAAATAATAATCAAAAGCATTCGTAATACAAATTCTCATTATTATTATTCGTTTTATTATTGTTCGAATTATTCGTTTTGTTCGTTTTATTCAAATAAACTTTTGTAATAATTATAACAAATCAACTTTTTACAAAATAAACTTTTGTAATAATTATAACAAATCAACTTTTTACAAAATAAACTTTTGTAATAACAAATCAACTTTTTACAAAATAAACTTTATTAACATTGCCATTGTTTTTTTTTTTTTTTGACATTGTTGTTTGGGTCATCCTACATACAGAAAGGTTCTTTTTATGAAATATACAGAACCTACGTGACAAATAAGAATTTATTTTTGGAGTTGGTAAGCATTCCATAACTCCTACCACCCCAAGCTTCACAAATTTAATCGTCACATATAGATATTTGTCACGAGGATGTAACAAAAATTTGAGCTATTTCCTTTTTATAGAATAAATTTCCATTTTTCTGTATATAGGTTGTTTAATAGAAAGAAATTATAAATTATTATATATATATTGTCTACAATTACAATATAATTGTTTATAATATGTATATACTGTGAAATTGTGGGGAATCATCATTTTTATATATACCATCACACATGATAAATATTACACAGAATATTGAATAATCATTATTGAAAGAAAACGTGACGCAATCACTATCATGTAAACAATAAGTTTTTTATAAAAGATAATTTTTTGATAATAAATAAATTAATTCGTTGATCCATGTATCTTATTAATGAAAAAATTAATTTATATTATTTATTACAACCTCAGTATATATACTTTTGGAGGGAGCATGACGGTTTTAAATCCAGCTGTTAAAAAATATATGAATATAAATATATAAATATTATTAATAATCTTTTTTAAAAATTTAATTTTTTTATTTTTCATCAAATAATTATTTTAACACAAATAACAATACGCGATAACGACTTAGTTAATAAATGCTAGCACTTTATATTTGGTTAATCAATAACGACCGTTAACACTTTACACTTTTACGTTCACATTCCAACACACTGATAAAAAAATCCTTAGTTCTACGTTTACACTTAAATACTTAAACACTTTTACAAAAAACGTTTACACTTAACAAACTTAAAACAAACCTTTGCTTCTTTACTAAGCAAAAACCTTACTAGCGTTTTTATTTTTTCGAGAAAAAAAAAACGAACGTACGGCCGTTAAAAGTAAAGTAAAAGTAAATAAAAAAGGAGCTTTAGAAAACCTTTGTCGCTTTTTAAAAGGGACACATTATTTATTGTAAATCGTACCATAAAGTGTGCTTACAGATTGTTGAAGCTTTCTAGAAAGAATTTTACACAGTCGTTCAAATGATAAGGCAAAGTAGAGAAAAAAAAACAAAAACATTAAGATTGCAATTAAAATCATTAAAATTGCGATTGAAATCATTAAAATTATTAAAATCATTAAAATCACCATCAAAAACAAATGTAGGACCTATTTCAGAGGAAAAAAGGTTTAAAAATCAACTTAAAAAGGAATATATTTTATATGATTATAATTCTTTCCAAAATATAGAATTTATTGATGGTGGTTCATTTGGAATGGTTTCTTGTGCATATTCAAAACATCATCAAGGACTTGTGGCATTAAAATCCATTAATATTGATCAAAAATATCCTTTTGAACAATTTCTTAATGAGGTAATAAATTGATAAATCTTTTTACAAATAAATAAATATATGTATGTATTAACAAAAAAATTTACAATTGATTTTTTAAAGGCAAAGCAACATGGTAAAGTAGAACATCACAGTAATATATTAAGATTTTATGGCATAACAAAAGAAAGTATGTTAACTTTTTATTATTAAACTATTATTGATTTATAATATATTTGTTATACTTTGTTAATTTAAACTATTTACATATCATTAAAGAAAAACACAAAAAAAATTACATGTTTGTATTAGAGTATGCAAATAATGGTAATTTATGTGATTATTTAAAATCCAATTTCAATATAATGAATTGGAATACTAAATTAAAATTTGCAAAACAAATTGTAAGTGCTGTAAGACATTTGCATGAAAATAAAATAGTACATAGAGATTTGGTATGTATAGACATTATTTATTTACATTAATTATTTTAATAGTAATAACTAACATTAATATTTTAAATAGCATTCTAAAAATATTCTCATTCATGATGGAAATATCAAAATTTGTGATTTTGGAATCTCAAAATTTTTATTGGATCCTTCAATTGAAGTTTCTAAAAGATTAGGCTCAATAAATTACTCAGATCCACAATATTTAGAAAATACCGGAAATTATAGTCACAATGAAAAATCAGATATTTATAGTATTGGAGTGCTTTTATGGGAAATTTCAAGTGGTAATGCTCCATTTGCAGATAAGTCAATCAAATTCACTGATATAATGCTTGGCATAATATCAGGTGAACGTGAAGCAATAATTAAGGGAACCCCAAGAAAATATGCAGAAATATATACAGGTAATAATTACTTGTGGTTACATAACCAATGGCTATAATTTTCTCAATGGATAGTCTTGAAAATGTTTAATAATTTATACCAATATTAAAATTAAATAAATTTTATTTTTATAAAGCATGTTGGCAAGGAAACCCAGATTTCCGTCCTCATATTCATCAAGTTATGCAGGATTTGGACAATGTAGATATAACTAACACTATTGAAGATATTGTTGATTTAACAGATCAAACTAATAAAGATGATTTATTATATTCATTATCAGCACAAATTGATAATTTAAACAACCATTTAAAGGATCTGGATAATGTAGATATAACTGACATTATTGAGGCTGTTAATCCAACAGATCAAACCAATAATAATGATGATTTATTATATTCAACTGAACTTCCATTATCAGCATGAACTTATAGTTTAAACAACTACTTAAATGATAAGAAAAGTAAGAAAGATACACAGCATATGAAGTGTATAATATTTTAATATTATTAAACACATACACACAGAGATGGACTATTATAGATATTATTATAGATGTATTATTATAGATTTCTTATTATAGATTTCTTATTATAGATTTATTGTTTTTATAATTCTGTTGATTCATAATAATGTAATATTTTAAGTATTTGTAATTGTAATTAATTATTGAGTATTTGTAATACTTAGAGGTTGGAATTGTCCAAAAAAACCCTTAGTTGACTACTAGTTGGTCAAAATTTCTTTAGTTGACTATTAGTTGATTATTTAGTTGATTATTTTAGTTGACTAATTAGTCAACTAAATCTTTTATTTAATAATAATATTTCATTTTTTTTTTTTTTAATTTGCAAATTACGAATTCATTTCCATTTGAATCTTTCACTTTTTCAAAATACTTCCACACAAAACCATGTGTTACGATTCGTTTTTTAAAAGGTCTTCTGGAACCACTGCTTAAACCATTGGACCTTGTATCGGAAGTGTTTATTAGTTCACATGTAAAATTATCACCACAATTGTCATCATCATCATATTGATGATATTGATACTTTTCCGCATAGAAATTTTCCATTTTGAATGATGAAACACAAAAATCGTAATTGGTCAGACAATAAATAATATTAGCATAGTATTAACATTAGCATAGTATTAATATTAGCATTAGTATTAGTATTAGTCAACTAAATAATCGATTAAAATAGTTGACTATTTAGTCGACTAAGATAGTAGTCGATTCCAACCTCTACAAATTTCATGTTTTGTTTTAAAAACAATAACCTTTCAACATGATCAGGTTGTAACATATTATGATGTGTTTCCTGCATTGTTAATCAGCCTTTTTGCAGGTACAAACAGAGATATCAGAAATACCAAGAAATTTGCTAGCTTTATTATGTGAAATTTTTTTTATTTTCATACTCAAGGTTCAACATCTTTTTTAACTTTCGATGCCAAATACGTTGAGATTTCATGCTGTTCATCATCAAATTGGCATTTCCTCTGTTTTAAACTATAACATCGAAACCATTAATTGAAGGATTAGAAATTGTGGTTATGGTTGGATTCAATGTTGAGGTTTCCTGGTTATTTTTTAATTGGTTAAATTGGCATTCCAATAACTATTCTGCCTTTTTTTTGACCCATTGAACTCAAATGGTGAAGTTAAAACTTCGAACGAGCTGAGCTCGAGTTTGAATTTTTTTTAGATCATAGTAACGAATGATAATACTTTTATTTATGCATATTACCTAAAAACCATTTAACAACCTGTTTTGAACTCGGCTCAAACTTGAAAATTCAAGTTTTAGCTAAGCCTGCTCAACTTGGAGTTTCTATTCGAATAAAACGAATAAAACAACAACAACAACAACAACAACAACAACAACAACAACAACAACAACAACAACAACAACAACAACAACAACAACAATAAACCAAATTCGAATTAAGATTACTATAAGACTTTGTATTACTACATATTACTGTTACGAATAGAAACTCTAACTATTACTATTGTTTTCTTTATTACTATCTTTTATCCAGCTACACGAGCATTGTATTTTTTTTTTGAGCAAATGTACTGTACATGCAAGAGACACACATGATATTAATATTATGCCATATTTTATTTATTATTCAATTATATAGTATAATTATATGTAAATAAAAGTCGTTTTCTTTACATTGCCATATCATGCGAATCTCCTATTACTATCTAACTATTGCCATGTTTCATACAACCGAAAAATTTATTATTTTAGTTGAGAGAAGCAAACACTTGATTAGACATAATGTTTTGTCAAATGATCTGTATAGGACCATTGAACTTCATTGTGAAGAAAGCTTTGAACCACATCAAAGAAAAAGAAGCAATTAAGAAGTATTGAAATTCATGCACCAGAAATTTTCAATGTTAATGTTACTGCTGTTACTAAAGTTCAAAGAGAAGAAAAAAATTAAAATATATGCAGAAAATTTTTTTCAATAATCTTGATAGTTTTTTTATATTGATATATTTTTTTCATTTTATTTTTTTTATTTTCCTAAGCTGCGATGATTTATATCTACACGAGCCCGACTCAATATTTTTAGTCACAAATTTTTTTTAATTTGAAACAAATAATAATAATAATAGCTTGATTTTGTTTATGATAAAAATGCATATTAAATACAATTAATTAAAATTTTTACATTGGGAAAAGATTAAATCTTTAAATTTGGGTTGGACACATCCACCCACCACACCAAAGATTAAACAAACATACATATGTTTAACAAAGTAGTTGCCCATCTACTAATAAAGCATACGCGTAATTTTTATTTACTAATAATAAAATCAAATTTAAAAGGTGGGGAAAGATTAGTCACAATGTTTATACTTGTGGGCAAAATTTTCATAACGTAAGGAAATTATTCAACCATATATTTTTAAATATACATTAAATTCTAACAATATTTTGCAAAAAAAAACTTTAAATTTTACATTGGTAAAATATTGGTTAAAAATCTGTGTTAGTGTTAAAGACTGTGTGTATTCAGGCGGGAAATATAATTGAGTCATCATCACAAAATGAAATCAACTTGGTTTTTTTTTTGTGTATATTAATTAAATATTTAAAGTTTACAATTGAACAATTATTATTTATGCCATTGTTCTTTTACCTGTATATGTCAAAATGAAAATTATTATTACATAATAACGTAAGAGAAAAGTTGCTTAGTGTTAAGAATTTGTGTATTCAGGCAGGAAATGTCACAAAATTAATTGATGACATAACGAAGGTAATATATGTGTATTCAAAAGCTTTTACTGCAAATTGATTTAATTTTTCCATTTAAACGTTTAACGCTTTTTTTAACTTTTATTACTATTTATTGTTTTACTATTTACAAATAATAAAATATTCTTTTTATCTTACCGATAGTTTCTTTTGTCATTGTTGCCACTAAAAACAAATTTTTTTACGGTTTCAAAATGATGAAGTTGACTGGCATACAAACATTGCGAATTATTATTACGTATAATGCGTTATTAATATATTTTACTAAAAAATATTTATTCTGTTTGTTTATTTTTTATTTGTTTGTTTGTCTGTTATTCCTGTTATTTGATGATTTAATAAAATTTCTTTTTAACTGTTATACTACCTTTCAATAAACTATAACAATAAATTGTAATTTACTAAATTATAATGCTTTCAATAGGTAGTAAATCTCTTTCATTTAGCCCATAATGTGAATGTGGCTTTATTTCACCTAAATATTTTACAATTAAAGTGAGATGTTTCGTCATCTTAAATTAAAATGTATCGAATTATTTAATGGCATGACGAAAATCTGATTGGTTAATATGGACCGTTGAACTTCATTTTAACACAAAGAAGCAATAGCGGGTTGGATCCTTTAAGAAGTATTGAAATTCATATACCAGAAATTTTCGATGTTAATGCTTGCTGTTGCTAAAGTTCACGCAGAAAATTTTTTTCGATAACCTTGATAATGATATATTTAAAAATTTTCCACTTTTTTTTTCTTTTTTTTTTCATTTTATTCGTTTCATTCAGATACTCAAATTCGTAACGAATATAACAATAAACTTTATTCAAATAGAAACCCTGGTCTCCATTCAAAAAATTTTGATGATAATCGGCATAAAGAAAATTTGGTTGGATACAAAATTATGTGGTCGATTTGAAGTTTCAAATTAATAATAATATGCTAGTGATATCAGCCGTTAAAAAAACCTTAGCCGGCTAAGCCGATAGACTCTTAGCCGGCTAAGCCGGCTAGCCGTCA